ATATCTGAAGAATCTAATAACCAAACTCTTTAAGAGGAATGGCTAAATAATTATCCCGGAGGTTTATTCTGCCAATGAGAAGAGCCAGGAGAGCTAATTATGGTAGCCTTTGGATACAACAGGTTGTTACACAAGAGGAGATCCACTCATTTCCCAAAGCACCGGAAAGCAAGAGAAGAAACGATGGATGGAAACTAATCAAGGAGAGAAGCAACTTGGAATTAAGGAGAAACTTTCCAACAGTGAGGAAAATTATTAGCCAGTGGAACAGCTTGCCACCAGAAGTTGTGGCTGCTTCCTCAGATTTTTAAGAGGAGACCGGACAGTCCCTTTTGTCTGAAATGGTCGAGGGTCTCCTGTATTGATTATACTATTGTACATATGAGTGGATCTTCTCAGTTGGCCCAGAACTGATGGATAAACCCAAGAAGTAGGCTTAGATGGAATAAGCAGGAAACTCTTGATCAAATGCAGGCTAGTAGGAACTCGGGAAGAAATCCGTGATTATTCCAGCTAAGGGCCAGTGGAACAGCCTGCCACATGAAGCTGTGAAGTCTCTTTCACTGCTTATCTCGGGTGGAGAGCAGATGACCCATAGGAAGAAACCTCGAGGGGTTTTTGTGATAAACTCACCCCTGACAGCCTCCTCCTTATGCAAAAACCCACCCTCCTGCAGTCCATTCAAGCCAATTTACCAAGGCTGTGTGTCGGGATGGCTCAGGAACCCAGCTGTAACAGCCCCGGGGTTTCTCCGATTCCCTGACTTCTGACTGCACCAAGAACCCCCTCAAATGTGGCTTTGCAGCTCACGGTTTCCTTCCAACCTGCTTCCTCCCACCGCTGTTGCGGGCTGCAACCCCCTCCTTTCCACCCAGCCCAAATGCCGCAACTGATGCAGAGCAGAGTTTCCAGTCCAAAACTCCAACCCACCCTGACAATAAAACCCACCCTAAAAAAAAAACCCCAGGTTTAATACGTACCCTTCCCATGCCTAGGCAACCCATTCAAGACGCAACTCTTATCATGCATATGTGGGTTTTTTTTCCCATAGGGTGGAAAAAACTTAGATGGCATTACATTTTAAAAAATAAAAAAAATTAGAATTCTTGATTGGCCAAGTGTGATTGGAGCCACAAGGAATTTGTCTTTGGTTGCAAAGTGCCCATAAAAAAAATATTACATAAAATAAAATAAAAAAATATAGACAGGGATCTCATTACCAACCCGCAGCAAAAAAAAAAAAAAAATAGAAAGAAAATCTGGCTTGGAGGAGAGAGAGAAAAAAAGAAAAACCCCGCAGCGCAACCCAGCTGCAAAAACGCGCGTGAGAACGCAGACAAGCGCGTGGGTTGCTCCCCCC